AACTTTGTATAGAAAAGTTCTTATTAGCAAACCTGCTGCAAAAGACATTTTAAAGTGTTAAGAAACAAATACCTTGATTTCTAAGCTACATGATCCAAATCATGGTATTTTCATTTGACTCATATGCATTCAAAAGTTGGTCTATGAATAAAGCAGAATGAAGAAATGTTGCCATTGAATTATATTGTTTGCCAAGAACACTGAATATAACACAGGTTGGCAGAGAGAAAAAACAAGTCTGTCTTAGAAAAAGTACAGTCAAAATGTAATTTAGAAACAAGGATTGTAAAATTTCATCTCCTATACTTTGGAATTGTTATCAGGAGGGACCAGTCCCTAGAGAAGGATATCACACTTGGTAAAATAGAGGGTCAGCAAATAAAAGGAAGATGGCCAACAAGCTAGATTAACATTATCAAAGCAACAATGGGCTGAAACGTAACAACACTTGTGAGAATGGCACAGGCCAAGGCAATGCTATTTTCTGTTGTAATTGTTAGGCCCCAGATGGCCCTATCCAGTAGGAGACCCCAAAAAGATTACCAGGACTCGAGTTCGATGCAACAGCAAGAGGTTTATTTGCCAACGCGCTGGGGTCCACCTTCAGTCACAAAAGCAGGAGACAAAGGCGACCCCCCTTTACAGTACAAGCCAGTTTTTATAAGGTTTTAGGGGCATAATTGTGCAGTACCATAGATACAATTTCTGATTGGTTAACAATTGGCAAAGTATGAGATGTTACAGTTTAATTGGTCAGTACCGGTGGTTTCTGTTCTTAGGCTAGGGCAAAGGAAAACATCTGGCATTTGGCCTTGGGTCCTGTCTATTCTTTATCTAGTTCCCGCTGTTGCTAGGGGTGAAAGGATATTCTAAGGCAGCATGAGCTGATTTAGCACATTCCTGGAACAGGAGGATGTGTTCAGGCTAATGTACAGAATGGAGATTGACCTTGTCTCTGGAGGGAACTAAAAACTGAGGCCTTGTCTATTTAAAATGCTTTTCTGAGCCTGACTAGAGTTTAGTCAAGCAGTCTCTAGGTAGGCAAAACCAGGTAAAATCAGTTAGGTCCTTACATAATTAGGGTGGCTATGAATCAGAACTGACTCAATGGCACCTAGAAACAACACAAAAACACACTTGCCAGAAATTGTTGTTGTTGTTAGATGCCATCGAGTCGGCACAGACTCATAGCTACTCTATGCACAGCAGAACGAGACAATGTCTGATCCTAGGCCAACCTCACTACTGTTGCCACACTTGAGTCCATCGATGTTGCCACCTGGCCAATCCATCTTGATGGGGTCTTCCTCTTTTTCTCTAACCCTCCATCTTACCAAGCATGATATCCTTCTCTAGTGACTGTTCCCTCCCGAAAATATATCCAAATTATGAGAGAGGAAGTTTGGCCATCTTGGCCTCTTGACAGAAATTACCTGGTGACAATTCTATGGATCACAATGGTCTACTCTGTAACCAAATGTGGGGATGTTACAGGACCATGCAGTGTTTCATTCCATTATACATGGTGAGCCATATTTTGGGAGTGACTTGATAGCAGCAAAAAACTGTAAGAAACACACATAATCTACTTGATATACACTGAGCAATGCACATTGTCTTATTTTGTTCTGCAGGATATGCACTAGCAATTCAAACCCACCCACCGCTTTTTGAAAAATCTGTACAGGGTCGCTTTGAGTCAGAACCAACTTAACAGCAATTAATAATTACAACATAACAGAAATACTACAAGTACATTGCTTTAATAAACAGATTTTTTTAAATTTCACAGTTTAGAAGATTTGTTGCTGTTGTTGTTGTTGTTAAGTGCCGTGAAGTCAATTCTGACTCGTAGTGACCCTGTATAGGGTTTCTGAGGATGTATAGGGTTTCTCCAAACTTGTGGTTCAAATGACCTTGTAGTCCAGCTCATGAACCCACAGTGCCACACCAGGACCCCTGGTTGTTGTTGTTAGGTGCCATCAAGTAAGTACCGACTCATAGTGATCCTATGCACAAGACTGAAACATTCCCCAGTCCTGTGCCAACGTCGCAATTGGAGCTACCATTGAGCCCATTGCTACTGCCAAAGTGCCAATCTATCTTGTTTGGGGGGGGGTCTGTCTCTTTTTCTCAGACGCTTCACTTTGCCAAACATGATATCCTTCTCCAGACACTCCTGATAATATGTCTGAGGTATGAGAGATGAAGGCTGGCCAGCCTCCCTTCCAAGGATCGTTTTGGTTGTACTTCTCCCAACAGAGATTGATTTGTTCTTTTGGCAGTCCATGGTTTACAAGATTAGGAATCTGAATTCAGGGAATCACATCTAGGAGGAAATTTCTCTTTACAATATCTGTGGTCCCACGTTCCTTTGAGATACCCATATGTCCTGGCATCAATCTTTCTCTGTTTCTAGGAGGTTCTCAACACAGGGACTTTGAGGAAAAAGATGTGTTCCATTCCCAACACTTCTTTCCTTGTTATAATCATTACCCTGTTGTTCTGCTCATTTTTCGATCCTTTCATCTCATGCAAGACAAAAGGTAATGCAGGTCACACTCCAGGAATGTTCCCCTTACATCTGATCAGAATTGTGATTTGTTTAATGGTGATCCATCTTATCCTAAGCCCCTTATACCTGATTAGTTGATTGCTTCAGATTCCATCGTGGAGATGACTTCATCATTACATAACTGGCAAATTATATCATTCCAGCACTGTCTCAACACAAGGAATCATGACTCAGCCAATGAATGTCTCAATAAATGTCAAAGGCTTAAAATCATGCAGAATGTGTTCTATGACCACAACACAATTATGCTGAAGTCAGTAACAAATGAATAAAAAAAGATCTTTTGTATATTTGGTTGTTAAATAGTATACTCATCTATAGTTCATGCAGGCTAAGTAAAAAAATCACAAAGGATTTATTCAAATACATTTCTATGTACTAATCCCAGCAGATATGAGGACAAAGAGGAAAATGAGGATAATTCATAAGAGATGGTGATGTTGTTGTTGTTCAGTGCCATCAAGCCAGTTCCAACCAATAGGGACTCTGTATAGGATTCCCAAGGAGTGACTAGTGAGTTTGAAACAACCTTGTGGTTTAAACTGATCTTATGGTCAAGTGCTTATCCTTCAGCACTACAACAGGACTCCGAGAGTGATGTCGGTGTTGTTGTTAGATGCCACTGAGTTGGTACAACTCACATGACCCTATGCACAACAGAATGAAACACTGCCTGATCGTGGGCTAACTTCACAATTGTTGCCATTCTTGAGTTCATTGATGGTGCCACTTTAACAATCCAACTCTTTGGGGGTCTTTCTCTTTCTCTCTGACCCTCCACCTTACCAGACATGATATCCCTCTCTAGTGACTGATCCCTCCTGACAATATGTCCAAAATATGAGAAATGAAGTTTGGCCATCCTGGCCTCCAAGGTATACTCTGGCTGTACTTCTTTCAACAAAGACCCATGTGTTCTTTTGGCAGCACGTGGTATTTTCAATATTTTCCTCCAACACAATAACTGAAATGCATCAATTCTTCTATGATCTTCCTTATTCACTGTCCAACTTTCGCATGCATATGAGGTAGTTGAAAATAACCTCATGGCTTGGGTCAGGCATACCTTAGTCCTCAAGCTGACAACTTTGCTCTTCAACACTTTAAAAAGGTCTTGTGCAGCACATTTGCCTACTGCAATACGTCGTTTGATTTCTTGACTGCTGCTTCCATGAGTGTTGATGATTGATCCAAGAAAAATGAAATATTTGACAACTTCAACTTTTTCTCCTCTGATAAGAATGTTGTTCATCCAGTGGTGAGGATTTTTTTTTCTTTACGTTGAGCTACAACCCATATCAAGGGTTGTGTCTTTGATCTTCCTCAGTAAGTATTTTAAGTCCTCTTCACTTTAAGTAAGCAAGCTTGTATCATCTGCATATTGCAGGCTGTTAATGAGTTTTCTTCCAATCCTGATGTCACGTTTTTCTTCATATAACCCAGCTTCTTGGATTATTTGTCCAGTGTACAGCTTGAATAAGTATGGTGAAAGAATACAGTATACTAATGTCGAAGCAAATGGGCATCCATTACAAATTCACTAAGTTGAAGAATGCACACATGGAATTAATTCATTTAATTTTAAAACATTAATTAAAACAATCAACTTTTAGAGTAGTTTTAAGCTTACTGAAAAATTGAGGATAAATTATAGGGAGCTCCCTTATAACTCTTCTTTTCCTATTTAATTATATTAATTCTAATGCAGACAGATTGCTGCCTATATATAGTGAAAACTGTGTCAGGCATAACTAGGGTAAGACTTGATTGTTTTGTGGAGTCTGCAAGATTTTTGCTTTGCCATTACAACTAACCACTTGTCTATCATTTTCTGTTAATGGAAATTATTAATTTTCATTCTCTGACAGGTTCTGGCTATCAGAGGGTTTACTATAAAATATATTGAATAATCTCAATGAACACTCCTAATACCACTATTAAGAATGCAATATGACACTGCTTATTTATAAACGTAGAAGCTGAATTCAGGGGGGTAAGCTATTGATAATAGGTGGTACAGTTTCCACTCAACTAATAACCTAAATGTTGGTGTTTCAATCACAACTAGCAACAATAGGGATCAAAAGACTGGTGATCTGCTTCCATAAAGATTACATCCGAGAAAACACCTGTGGGATAGTGCTACCCTATAACTCACTGAGTCATGCTGAGTGAGAATCGACTTAGCAGCAATGGGCTTGGTTTGGGTTTTATTAAGACCTAGGAAAGCAGCAGTCATTACAAAGTCAAATCCCTCACTTCTTCTGCGAACTTGCTCAGATCCTCAAGCTGGCCTGACTTGATAGACCCTTCATTAAATACCTTGCTAGAGGCAATGAACAATAGAAGTGTCAGAGTCTCTGGCATACTTAGTATTTCATTTCTTTTGACTTCCAGAATCCCATGATCAAGTCAGATGATACAATCATAACAAGGAAGGTATTACGGAGATAAGTTTCTTCAAGGCCCCCTTCATGTCCCTGTTCCTCAGGCTATAGATAAAGGGGTTTATCATGGGAGTGACCACCGTGTACATCACTGAAGCCACTGCTATACTCCTGGAGGATAGATGAGCCGCAGAGCTAAGGTAGACCCCAACACATGTCCCGTAGAACAAGGAAACAACAGACATGTGAGACCCACAAGTGGAAAAAGCCTTATATTTGCCATCTGTTGATGGGATTCTCAGGATGGAGGAGACAATGCGAATGTAAGAGAAAATGATGCCAAAGAGAGGACCCACACCCAATAAGCTACTTACTAAATACACCAGGATGTTATTGATGAGGGTATCAGAACAGGCCAGCTTGAGGATCTGAGCAAGTTCGCAGAAGAAGTGAGGGATTTCCAGGTCTGTACAGAAGGACAGACGCAGCACCATCAGACTATGGAGCAGGGCATTCATGATGCTAATGACCCAGGACAGTAGAATCAGCAGCCCACAGAGGTGGGGATTCATAATGACCGTGTAATGCAGAGGGAGGCAGATAGCCACATACCGGTCATAGGCCATCACTGTCAGGAGCAGATTGTCCATACATACAAAAACCATGAAAAAGTATCCTTGAGTAAGGCAGCCTGTATAACTGATGGCTTTATTCTCCGTCAGGATGTTCACCAGCATCTTGGGGACTATTGTGGAGGTGAAGGAGATGTCCACAAAGGACAGGATGGAGAGGAAGAAGTACATGGGGGTGTGGAGGTGGGAATCAGTGCTGACAGCCAGGATGATGAATAGATTCCCTAGCACAGTAACCAAATACATGGACAGGAACAGCCCTAAGAGTAAGGACTGCAATTTTGGATCCTCCGAAAGTCCCAGAAGGAGGAATTCTGTGACAACTGTGTAGTTTTCTGATTTCATATTGTATGTTTTTGAGTCTGAAACAAAATGAAACAGACATATTAAATGCATTTTGTATTCTTTAAATTCTAGTAATAATTGAACAATTATTTCTCTTTACCAGATGTTTTAGCATTTTTCATACATCTTTGTTTTTTTAGTGTTACAGTACAAAAACACAAAAAAGTGTTGCTTAACTTTCTAAAAGCTAGCAAGCTTGCATTCTTAGGTTTACATCTAGGATTCAATTCTAATAGTCCTTTAATATAGCATCAATTTTGTTCCAGAAAAGATAAACTTTCTACTCAATTCCAAGTTACAGTGACACCATGTATATCAGAGTAGAATTGTGCTCTATAAACTTTCCAATTGCTGAATTTTTGGAAGTATATCACTTCGACTTCCTTCGGAAGCATCTCTGAGTGGACTCAAACATCAAATATTTCAGTTATATTATCTGTACTGTGTAATCCAATGCATTGCCAATGAGTCAATTCCAACTCATGCTAACCCTATATGACATGGTAGACTTGTCTCTTAGGGTTTCCAAGGCCGTGATCTTTAAAGAAACTGACTCACTTATATTTCTCCTGTGGATCAGATGCTGGGTTTGCACTGCCAAACTTCCAGTTAAAAAACCAAGTTGTTCCACTTAAATTCCCTTTGCACACCCAGGGACCTGTTTACATGACTCCATTTCTTAAAGAGTATCCACTATATAGTTAGCTTGATAATTAGTATCTGAGTCTGGTTGTAATTTCAAATCTTAGGTCTAGCTGGAAATTCTAAACTTAGATTCTCTCCTGGACCATTGTGAGAAATAACATCTTCAATCCATTCCTTATACCATTTTATATTTACAATTAGATAACACCTAATAATTAGTCAGGAGTCCTGGTGTAGTGCTGTAGGTTAACGAACTGGACTACAACGCCACTTTGAACCACAAGGTTGGCAGTTCAAGTTTACCAGCTGCTCCTTGGAAACCCTATACAGGGTCGATATGGGTCAGAATTGACTCAATGGCACTTAACAACAACAACAACAATTATCAATTAAAACAAATCTACTTAGGAAGCATACTTTCAACCAATCGAATGTTTCTGCTGAACTGTGATTTGTCATCTCTTACCTGCCTACATCGATGGATCTTATTAGAAAAGCTCATATGAAACTCTATGTCTTTATTGTAGAAATATCAGACAAATATTTGTCTCTGAACCTTGAACAGAAAGTGTAGCTCTGCTTTTTTTTTTCTGAATAATTGGTTCATTTTATGTTTCATTTTATTTCATTTCTTTAGCTAATAAGAAATGAGGGCCATATGTGTGTACCAAGTCTAGAAACTCAATATATTTTACAGTATATTCCTTTTGTCTAAGTTTCTTTCAAACTTGTAGAAGATGTCCATGTGGTGATCTAACTCTCTGTACTCTTAAGTGAATTGGCCCTGGGCATTTTCATGGTGATCTTGCCAAGAGAGTTATGAAAGGCCTAAACTTCCATGCTAAGCACTTAAAGACATCCTATCCAATAAAACCCAGAATTGTTGTTGTTATTAAGTGTCGAGTCATTCTGAGCCATAGCAACTTTGCATAGGGTTCCCAAGGAGCAGCTGGTGGGCCTGAACCACCAACCTTGCAGTTCAAACAACTTTGCAGTCTGATGCATTAGCCCACAGTGACACACCAGGACTCAAAACATGGAGTACTTCTATCCAATAAAACCTCGAGTACTCTACCATTCAGGTTCTTCTGGCCCCTGCTATAAATACCTTTGAGTTGGTGGACTTTTGTCAATTGCCACATCATAAAACCAGTTGAGCAAGAAATATGCAAGAATATGGTATTCAACATTTATTGAAACTGTGTATTTCCTGCTTTAATAGAAACTAAGCTGTTCATCTCAGGATCCGAGCTTTGGAAGG